TAATATCAGATAAAATAGACTTCAACTTAAAATTCGTGAGAAGAGATAAAGAAGGTCGCTGCATACTAATTAAGGGATCTCTCCTTCAGGAGGATATTACAATTCTAAATATCTATTCACCAAACAACGGAGCACCCAAATTTATCCAAGAAACACTACTTTCCCTCAAATCCCACATAGATCCAAAGACATTAATATCTGGGGATTTTAACACACCACTTTCCCCACTAGATAGATCAACTTGGCAAAAACTCAACAGAGAAACCGCAGATATAAACAACTGCATAGATCAATAAATTCAACAGACATCTACCGAATATTCCACCCAGCAGCATCAGAATACACATTTTTCTCAGCAGCACATGGAGCATTTTCTAAAATAGACCACATTTTAGGCCATAAAGCAAACTTGTCCAAATTTAGAAACATTGAAGTTATACCTTGCATTCTCTCTGACCACAAGGGAATACAATTAGAACTCAACACCAAAAGCCAACAAAGAAAGTCTGGTAACACATGGAGGCTGAACAACACACTGCTGAATCATGAGTGAGTCATGGAAGAGATTAGAAAGGAAATTCAAATGTTCATGATATTCAACAAAAATGAGCACACAAATTACCAGCTCCTCTGGGACACAGCAAAGGCAGTACTCAGGGGCAAGTTTATAGCTCAGAGTTCCTACATCAACAAATTGGAGAGATCTGAAACCAACAATTCAATGAGACATCTGAACCTCCTTGAAAAAGAGTAGCAAGATAAACCCCAATCCAGTAGATGGAAAGAAATAATTAAAATTCAATCAGAATTAAATGAATTAGAATCCAAAAAAATTATAGAAAGAATCAACAAAACAAAGAGTTGGTTCTTCGAAATAATTAACAAAATTGACAGTCCCTTAGCAAATCTTATCAGAAAAATAAGAGAAAACACCCAAATAAATAAACTCAGAGATGAGAAGGGAAACATCACCACAGAAACAACCAAGATTCAGAACATTATAAGGGAATACTTCTCAAAACTTTATGCTAATAAGTTTGAGAACTTGGCAGAAATGGATCTTTTCCTAGCAAATATTGACATGCCAAAACTAAACCAAGATGAATTAAACCATCTTAACAGGCCCATATCAAGCATTGAAATAGAAACAGCAATAAGAGACCTTCCAGCTAAGAAAAGTCCAGGACCAGATGGTTTTAGAGCAGAATTCTACAAAGCCTTCGAAGCAGAGCTCACACCAATACTCTTCCAACTCTTCAATGAAATTGAAAGAGAAAGTTCACTACTGAACACATTCTATGAAGCCATCATAACTCTCATTCCAAAACCAGGCAGGGACTCATCAAAGAAAGAGAACTATAGACCCATTTCTTTAATGAACATTGATGCAAAACTTCTCAACAAAATTTTGGCCAATCGACTTCAACAATCCATCCAAAAAATCATACACCACGATCAAACAGGAT